TCACTTACCTCAAAAGCCCTATTAGGTAACTATAACTTGGTTTGACTGGACAGCACAAAGTATAACATCATATATTTATCCACAGTGTACAAGCTGTTCACACTGATTATTTCCACAAACATTTGTAGTACAGTATTCTCAACTGCCACCATGTCTGAACAGACAGACTGCTGTTATAAAGAATTTCTCACTATTGATTCCTTCATACAAAAACAAACTTGAAGGAACTCCAGAAATTTGACAGTCACTTATATTAATTACCAAAATATATTTGATTCTGTGCTATATTTGTGGCTTCTTGAAATTCTGAGGACCTACAAAATTGATAATTATTACTTTACTTTAAAGAATCACAATGAAGCAGAGGACAAAATTACAGTGTAGATACCTCCTCTCTAATAATATTCTTATTAGAAGAATTATTTTTCAAAGTGATTCTTTAAACCCTTTGTGGTTTTGCCTGACTTTAAATTTCCGGTCTAGACAGCTCAATAATAGCAGTAAAGGCTGCAAACCCAATTATCAGAGAAATTACCTTGATTTTTCATACTTAATGTATATGGACAATAGTAAGTTACTTGCATGCTCCCCAATAAATTGAATAGTCTCTTAAACATTGTTGAGTCTTACAGTACGGATGTCCCAATGAACTTTGTTGTTGATAAATGTGCTATAATCCATCTCCGCAAAAAGAAGCAAATTCTCAGAGGGCAGTAGCTATGAGCTCACTGTCAAATTCCTCGGAGGAATATCTGAGTGTCTTTAGATGTTTTTAGATTCCCTATGAGAGAATTCTAGATTTGTGTTTTATACACATCTGACAAGGAAAACAATAGTGGTCACAATTGTGGTCATTGCTTTATACTCATTCAGTTCTTCTTTCCTGGATACCCTTCAGAATTTTGACTTAAAAGTTTGAAAATGAATCCTTTTCTTCTTGAAAAGATTTATTTAGCAAGCAAGTAATCATGTAAATAGAAGCCCAAAAATGTAAAATACATGGGAAAATATAAAACTAAATGAGTGTATATTACAAATTCACAGTCTTCTAATACAAAAACATTCTAGTTCATATATGTAGATAGCATTTTAGTCTATAAAATGTAGAATTTATTAAAAGCTCTAGTTCATATATGTAGATAGCATTTTTAGTCTATAAAATGTAGAATATTTATTAAAAGTTGTATTGTCTGTTCAAATGCCATAAAACTTAAGTTTACTACAGTACTTCAAAGGATACAATATTATGACTATTTTCTCAGTAAAAAGACTGTTTTCTTAGTAAAATGAATCAAATACATAAACTCTCATACAAGTCACTTAAAAATCTCTATTCCAGTACCTACTATTGAGTGTGGCATAAGTTATAGTAAATAAGTCACGTCACATTTCATAATTCTCACCCAATCCAAGGTTCATGCATCCTTTGAGATGTTCTGTAAATGTGGTAGAAATCTCTGATTATATATCGAATCTTTTGTGGGACTCCAGCGTTCCTGTGAGTCTGGTATGTCAACATGCCCTAAGCGCTATCTCAGCAATATTCTGAATCAGTGACTTTCTAGCCCAGGCAGGCCATGTAGTAGCCCCGTCCATTTGAGTGCATCTGGCTAGATGACATAATCTACTGATATTATATTTGGACAGTAGAATACATTTTGAATGTCTATTACATGCATTTTGTATTTTCCATGTTATAAAATGTTCCCATTCAAATTTTATTTTTCTCTCTACCATTAAAATTTTTATTAAAATCTGTAATTGATATAACTAATAGACAGTTTATTTAAAGCTTAGAGGAGCAAAAACAACAACCCTATTTATTTATTTAAAATATTTTACCTTGCCTTTCTTTATAAAAAAAGGCCCCAGGTGGCTTGCATCATTAAAAGACAATATTTTAAAAGCTAAAAATGAAAACTGATAAATATTGAGGCACCTGTGAAACTCTCAATATATGCCACAAGGAACTTAAATTGTTATTCAGGCACAAGTACTTTGATAGAGTGGAGGCAGTACTCAGAAAATAACTTAATACAAAAGGAGAAATTACTGCTATTAACAGCTGAGCAACCCCATCGTTAACACATTCACTTGGAGATGTGTACTGGAAATGCAATGCTCTCGATGGTTTAAATAGGAAAACTCAAGTCCTATCAAAATAACAGTGCTCTCATCTAAAGGTATGTACCAGAGCACCTTTATTTGCCATGGAGCATGGGCAGGGATGGGCTTGTTGACCTCAGTAATCTCTGTATGGATCAGACGGGCAAACTTTGAAACTCTGTAGGGCAGTTCCACTTCTTCAGAAGATGATAAAGGATTCACAATATTACAGCTTGCAATTGAAAACTTTTGTTGTGTCAACAAAAGTTACATAGCATGATCTGAGTAACAGTTACATGGACAGTACCCCATTTGCTTCCCGGATGATAACACTGATAAGTAACAATAAACCTGTGGATTAAATTAGTGTGTCATCAGGCCGAAACAGAGATTTATATACACAATCCAAGACCAAGTTATTTTGCACTATCAGAAAATCATTATGGTGCAAGGTGTACGTGACATATATAGGGCACGTCACAAATCTAAATAAACAATTCATCATACTATAGCTGGATGGCCTAAAATTCAGCGTCAACGGATTATCTGTGCAGATGTGACCAAGTTTCAAAGAACATTTTCAGCTGTTAGATGAAACTTGGGGATTGTTGACATCTTTTCATCCGTATTATAAATTCTAGCCACTGCTGGTTTTAGGAAATGAAACCACAATACTGTACTGGGATAAACAAGTTATCACAGATAAAACAGTTCATTTTAATAAGCTGGATATTATACTTCTGGATAAGCGACAAAAGGAAAGCATATCTTATAGAAATTGGCGTTCCATCAGCAACCAACCTCGAAAGTGTAGAAAGTACAAAAATTGCAGTATATCAGGCATTAAGGCAAGAAATTAAAAAGATATGGACACAATCTCAGGTTATCCTCCTCCTCATACTAATTTCTGCAACTGGAGTCATTCCAAAATCTTTGGTTACCAATTTAAAGCAATTGCCAATCACTGCTAATTTACTTCCTCAAATTTTACAAACATGTCACCTTACCCACAGAGTTTTAGGATTTGGCCTCTAATGTTTAGGCTTGACCCTTTGATGCACCCACCCACGCCAGCAATACTGAGAAATAAGAAGTGCAATATGATTGCAGGTAGTAGCAGCAGCGTAATCAAGCCTGTAGACACAAATGCTGAAGTATTTTAAAACAACCAAGCATTCAGAGTCTTATGAATGTTGTAACTTTCATAATATGCTGTACAGCCGACTGGCTGCTTTCACTTCGTTCATGCGCATCACGTGGTGTCCTATACTTAAGTGGGAATAAGCCTTTTTTCACTCAGTGGGACTTGTTTCTGAGTAGGCCTCTATCTAATTGTTCTCTGAATGTAGCTTTTTAAAATAACGGAGCTGATCGGAGCTTGTTTTGCTGCTAGGGAAAGTTGCCATTTGGCATGAGACTGTTTAGGATTGGGATTTTCATAACTCCAGCCCCAGAAATCATGTACAAGCCCCCGGCAGACGTCTGGGGCTTGGAGAGGAAAAAGGAAGCAAAAGAGAAGTCTTCGTACTGCTGTTGTCAGTAGGATAAAACTTCCAATGGCAACGCAGGTGAGAGTTCGTAAAGATGTCATGTTGGCCTAAAAAGGATAATTTATTTTAAAATGCAGCTTCTGTGATGGTAGTATAGTTTATGCTTCCGTTAACAACTTGGAGTGACTTTGAAAAATTGGTACAGATGGATCAGTATCAAGAAAGGCATCTTTCTGCTTCATTTGCCCCTTCTACACAGAATTTAACTAGGGTTTTGCCCCTATTGTGTTGCCACCAGAAACAATCTGGGGTTTGCCTTAAATCCTTAAGAGCTGCTGCCAGTCACAATAAATGGCATTGCTCTAGGTGAACTAATGGCTTGACTCAAGACAAAAGGGCGTCAGGTCAAGTTCACAGAAAGCCCCTATGTTGATGTGGATGCTCTGCAACCCTCCACTCAAACACTTTCAGTCCTTGCAAGCCTCTGTGACATCACATGCCAGTTCATTCTGTTCCTACCAGCTGAGTGTTTTGTTTGCAAACGACACCAACCAGTGTAGTCTGTAGGATGATGAGTAGAAAATATATCTATATACAAACGAACAATGGACAATAGTCAGGATTGTTTGAATTTTGTTGCAGTTAAAGAGAGACCCGTGTATTCGTCTCAAGCTTCTGGCCTTGCTGGTACCTGGCATAACTGTACTGTAGTCCACCATGTCAGTATGCCAATCACTCACCAGGTTTGCTGGAGATATTTGAGATATTAGAAGCTTCCCTAGATGTCACTATGAAACATCGCCTTGCAGGTAGTTCAAGTGAAGAGATGAAAGCTGTTCATTTGATTTGTAAGATTGGCCTTAAGAAGGAAGGCTTCTCCTTGAGGCTATTACCAGCTTCAGAGTCTCTCTCTGCATATACTGTATATATACGCATGTATAAGTGCATGCATGTTGACCACCTTTTCTTCTCCACTTTATTCCCTATCAAAGTAATTGGAGTGTTTTATTTGCAGTTACTTTTTCAAGCGAGATTGATGAGTAACTTCTACTGCCAAGGGCACCTCGGGCATGTAGTATTTACTTTCAGGTCTACATATTACCCGTGTCAAATCGTACCAAGTGAAAGGACCGCTTTCAGGGTGCGTGTATGTGTGTGGATAGGAGTCTATAACATTGGCAGGCAGAAATAGACCCCTGGAACCCAGAAATGCGTGACTGTGCATTTTTTATTATTATTTCGACACAAATGGCAGCCGTTTTCCCACCCAGTTCCTTTCTAAAAAGCAGCTTAGGAAAGATGTTGTTTGACTTGACATCCTTGCTTGTTTACAGCAGTTCTTATCTCTTCTGCTTTCCTCCCTCCCATCTCTCCCCCCCCCCCAAAAAAAAAAACCTCATCCAGGATTCCGTTCAAGATTGGGCAGCCGAAGAAACAGATTGTACCCAAGACAGTGAGTAAACCAATTCCCCCTTTTTTAGATCCAGTCTTTGATCATATGGCTGATGACTCAAGCCAGCCCCATAAAACGGTCCCGGTTTTTAATATGTTGTTTGTGTGTGTGGGAGGGATAACATGAGTGCGCTGAAATTGCTTCTGTCTTTGACCACCCCTCAGTTCCTATGAGTGAGGGGGAGTCTTAGAACTGAGTGGATTATTTTGGTACCTAAGATCTGTGTGTGCCCCCTTTATTTATTCCCCCCCCCCAATTTTATATGGTGGGAGGAGGGGCTCATTCCTCCCTGGCATGGTTTTTCTAGGAGATGGCTCAACATGCTTGCTTCCTTCCTTCCTCCTTTCAGCCGTGGCTTGTTTGTTCATCTTTTCTGAGCAGATGGAGGAGGGGGAGTGGTTCGCATTGCTGAATATAACCATTTCCAAAGGAAGGCTTATTGGAGGAAGCTGAAATGCTTAGTGCCTGGGTATGAATTAATTTGGGCTGCGGAGCATTTGCTTTAAAAAGAATGTTAAAACACACACACACACACACGCGTACACGGTTTTCAGATGAGTCGGAATGTCTTGTCCTGAAATCCTGGGGTGTCTTTGCTGCTGACGGCAGCCTGTCCTTTCCTCAGCAGTATATCTTTGTGAAATGCAAACTACAGAGGGTCATGTTAACTATCTCCGAATTAACCTGACTTTTCCTGCCTTTAATGCAAATATCCCTGAATGGTGGTGTGATCCCACATGCTGGCTTTGTAATTCTCCTGTGGCTAGCAGGCCATATCCCTTTTTTTGATGGAATACCTACAAGAACTTCACCAGCAGTACTTGTGCCTTGGTGTGCAAGGCAGGATTACGTGAGAATTTCCAGGCAGCTTCCTTGAAACAGCTTGGGTAACTGGGTGAGGGAGAGTATTATGAAGGGATCTTTGTTGCTCTTCCCCAATGGTAGCCGGTGTTGAAAAGCTGGTGGCAGCAGCTCATAGATTTTGCCATACTGGAAGCTTTCCTGTTATCACTTCAAACTGAGCATGAGCTGAGGAGACAAGAGAACCTAGCTACTTTATATTGAACATAATTCTGCTATTAAGACTTAATGGACTTGGGCCCAAGCTATCTCAAGGAGCAGGTCTCCCTGCTTGGATGTTAAGATCCTCAGGAGAGGCTTTTCTTTTTGGTTCCACCACCTTCACAGGTGTGTTTGGTGAGGACATCGGAGAGAACCTTCTCTGTGGTTCCTCACAGACCTTGGAACTCCCTCCCACAGGAGACTAGCCTGGCCCCATCTTTGCTGCTCTTCCACAAAAGCAGGCAAAGACCTTTCTCATTAAGCAAACTTCCCATTAGTCATTGGCTGCCTGTGAGGGATTTTTTTAATGCATTATTGTTTCTTACTACAGTAGTTTGAATATGTTTTTAGTGTTGCCTTTTTAAAATCATCTTTTAGTGTGGTGTTTGTTTGATTTTTTAAAACTATTTCAAGCAAAACCAAAAGAAAAAGGCAAAAATGTTGTAGCACTTTAAAGACTTTTTTTGTATGCTTTCTATTTTTAGCTTTAAATATTGCCTTTTAATTATGTAAGCCACTTTGGGTCCTTTTTTAAGGAGAAAGGTGGGATAAAAAGAAATATATAGAGACTATATAGAGAGAGTGTACAAAGGATGAGGCCCTTTCAGTCAGTCTGAGCAACGTGAGCAATGTACAGCTTACCAGATGATGATGATGCACTGCATCCCTCATCAGTCCTAGCTAGGGTGGCCCATAATGAGGAATACTAGGAATTGTAACCAAGCAATACCCGGAAAGCTGCACTTTGCTCACTTCTGTGACCATTTTGGCTACATAATGATCACGACACAGAGAATGAGTTTGCTTTCAACAGGTAAGATGTTAGTAGTAGCGAACAACCTGCATTTGGTCTCTTTTTCGTGGACTCTTATTTGTCCTGCTTCTCGTGGCCTTTCCAAGTGGCAGTACTAGCGGCTCTGCGACTTCCAGTAATGGGACACATTATTGTCAATGTAAAATTCTCCTAAGCCCTGTGCAAAGACATTGCTTCCAAAATGGATTATGATTGAGTAGATACAACATGAAAGGCTTTGTTCATATAAGCCAGCAACCAAACAGGGCTGAGCAGGCTTTGTTCCTATAAGCTCGCAGTGAAACAGGGCTTATCACTGCTGTGCTTGTGGAAAGAGAGGCCAAAATACCTCAGTTGGAATTCCAAAGTAAACAAACCATGAATGAAAAGTCCAAAAGTTGTAAGCCATTTTTGCCAACAGGGGGAGCCAGGTAGGAGCAGCTAGATTTAATACATGAGTTTGCTTCTCTCTCCTGGTGAGCCAGAGTTCTCTGCAACCTTGCCTTGCCATGACATCTCAACAATTTCTTTGTCTCCAACAATGTCATGAGCACAAGAAGAATTAAATCGATTAAGCATTTGGATCACCTTCCTTAAGAAAAACAGATGGAAGTGCCTGAAGCTTTTTAGTTTAGAGGGGGGAAAGAGAGATGTATTTGGGCATGATGTAGAGAGAAAACTTTCCTTGCTGTCAAATAATATTAGAAGTTGGAGAGGATCACCAGCGAAACTGATTTGTAGTAGACTCTGCTCACGCAAATGAGACAACTTATTTTGGTAATACATATTACAGAACTCGTTCTCATAAGACCCACTGATGGCCACTAGCTCAGATGCTTTTAAAAGAGATATCTGAAGGATATGTCTATCTGTGCTATGTTTCTTGAATAGAATCTCTGAGTCTGGAATGGTGTGTCTTCAGCTGTTCTGTACCAGTGACACTGGAGCATCCCGCTCGTGAGCTCTCAAGAACACCCTGACTGACCATTCATGGGAACTGAATATCAGATGAAATGGGCATTTGGTGGAATCCAGGAAAAGAATTCTTAATTTTAGGGTTGCCATAATAGCTCATCTCTTCAAAAAGTATCAGGAAACCATCTGTTTTTCATATGTAATTTGGTCTTTGGTTTTCAATTAGAATTTCTTCCTCGCTTTTAAAAGATTAGCTCTCCTAGCTTTTTTTGTGGATTGTGGACAGAAATCCAGGTTTTTTTCTGGGAACTGCAGCAGTAGTAGAGGGGAGGATCTGTTTTACTGTGCTGTTGTATTCCAGATGTTCGCCTCTGGAGACTGTTTCAGGAAGTGGGAAGGTGAGGCATCTCTAGGGCTAAATCCAATGTTGATCAGAGAAGGAAGTGGTTTGTTGTAGAGACTCTCCCACTCACAAACCTAGATCACAAACATATACACACTTAAGGGGGAGAAACTTAATAGAGACCAGCTACTGGCTGGTTCCAGAGCAATCTGAATTCCAGTATAGGGAAAGGAGACATGAGAGATTCAGCTCACCAGACTTTTTCAAATGGCTAAAAAATAATCCTCCTAATACAAACATGGTTTAGTAGCAGTTGTTCTAGGAAATGATTGAATTCGGCTGGAGGAGACATTAGTCATACTTCGCTGTGCCTACTTGTTGTCAATCCTCGGAGGAAGGGCAAAGTATGAACTATAATACTTCATGATCAGAGGAAGCCCCTTATGCAAGACATACTTAAGTACTGAACTGATTTGATCTGCAGCTCTTTAGACCTGCCATTGCAGCCCTTTCACCTTAACCTGGTGAAATCCAATACCAGACAGTATAATCTCCCCCTGTCTTGAAAGGAGCAACTTCGTTCTGTCGGTGTGGAAGCAGGGCAGGGATCTGATGGCGACAACTGTTCTGCTGCCTCGTCAGGCACTGATTATTGTTTCCAGGCGGAATTTGACACCCACCTTTACCTGTGCTGCTTGTAAATGCAGAGCTTCTCAGCATCTGGATGGAATTTGTAAGGAAGTTAATTGAAACCCTCCTGAAACCTTTTCATGCGTTTTCTACTTACATTCTGGGGTTCCTTGGAGGCTTCTTGCAGTGAAAAGATTAGTGTACAAGACAGCTTGGAAGTTGCTGCTGATCTTGTCTTGCAGGGAACACCTGCCAGAGAATGTGGAGTATATTCTAGAGCAGGTTCCCAACCTTGAGTCACCCAGGTGTTCTTGGACAGCAACTCCCAGAGACCCCAGCTAGCAGAGCTGGTGGTGAAGGTTTCTGGGAATACCCAGAGACCCCAGCTAGCAGAGCTGGTGGGTGGTGAAGGTTTCTGGGAATAACAGTCCAAGAACACCTGGGTGACCCAAGATTGGGAACCACTGTTCTACAGCGCCTTTCCAGTTCACTCAAGGTAATAAGGGAACCCCATTGGTTTGGCCGAAGCGCCACACAAGGTGATTGTACACCCCCGTTCTTGCTCTAAAATCCTTTGTGCCACTGCCTCTGTAAGAGTGTGAGCGAGTGCATGTGAGTACACACACACACACACACACACACACACACACACACACACACACGATTTAATAGATAAGGCAATATAGAAATGAAAATATATACTCAGTGCCTGGAAAAGTTTAGTTTTGGACAACTCCAAAAACATATTTTATGAAGTCCATTCCTTTTGGTCCAGTTCCAACTGTGTAAACTGAATCAGGACCCCGGAAATAATTAATTTAGTTTAAATTAAAGCTTCCTATCCTCATGTGTCAGTTTCAAAGGCTGCATAGATTTCCTTTTGTCTTGGGGAGCCGTAGGTACGCCAGGTGAGAGAAGATTTTAAAAGTCAAAAATTGCCACTGGATCGGGACCTCTGGTGGTGATTTTTGCACTATTAAAAGCCCCTGCACCCATCCCACGGCTTCCCCAAGAGCAAAACGGAGCACAAGGGAGCCTCAGAAGCTGAAATGCGGGAGCGGGGAGGTAATAGAAAGCCTGGATTTAAATTAAAGCTTTCCGGTGCTCCAGCCTGGTTTATGCCAGTGGAACTGTGCCAACAGGATTTTGCCCATAATTTCCAGTGGTTAATTTAAGAGTATTCCAGTCAAAATCATTTCCAGGTAAATCTTTGCTGTTGCTTAACTATAACATTTTAACCACACCGTGTACATTTAA